GGGAATGTGATTGCAGAGACGGATCGGGATCTGCTTGACGGCCGTCACACGCAGCCTTTGTGGTACCGAAACGATTCATATATGTTTTTGGACGGTATTGAGATACGCACCTGCGACCAAGGCCAGACGCAGGTGGGTTTTGGCGGGTTTTCACCAATTTGACCAGGGGCTGCCTGGATTGAGGTGGGCAGTAGCAAACCACTAAACACCCGGAAGTGCCTTTCCACCGTCAGAGAAAATGCGTTGCGCTCGTGCTCTACGCCAATCGAGCTTATAACCCGTAGACCTGTTGTCTCCCATGGCTAGGTTTTACGGGAAGAGGGTCATCGATCACTTCCTAACCTCCGAAGAGGATGGGCTAGGATACTGGCAGGGCGCCCACACGTGACAAGAGAACGACTCGGGTCCTCAGCCAAAGCCTTCGATTAACTATACACCGGAAATGCAGCGGGTCTACCACATGGACAGCTCACTGACTCAAGCGGATTGGTGTCCTGTATCTTAGCAGGGAGAAGGGCGTAACCAAACTCCCACCCAGCGGTCGCCACGTGGAGGCGCCCAGGACATGAGACTATGGCGCAACAGTAGCAGCAATGCGTAGACCATCTGTCAGGATCTAGCCACCATCAGCCTCAGCGCATCATAGGATCTCTTGCCTTGTGTATCATTTCCCAATTTGGCTGAAATACTTCCGTTCTGCTTGTTGAAGGAGTGCGGGCCGGCTCCGTTGAAGAAACGTGGCTCCCATCCACATGCCTCCCGGTCTGATTCCTTCGAGTTTACACAGGATATGGGGTGTGTGCGTGGAACTGCGGGTGGTGCAGCGCAAGCCAACCATGGTCCCCTTTGTAGGCGTAGGCGTAATGTGACTGTCCCCATGATGGTCACAGTGACAGGCAAATCCGGATACCGACACCGACAAATCATACATATATATATATATATATGTGGATGGGAGCCACGTTTCTTCAACGGAGCCGGCCCGCACTCCTTCAACAAACAGAACGGAAGTATTTCAGCCTAATTGGGAAATAATACACACCAGACGTACACTATGCGATTGCCGCACCATAGCCCGTTCCACACAGGATTGAACCACTCTTTAAGCCTCTCACCGTCACGAGGACGGTGCATTCTGTCTTCTCCAGCGACGATCAAGTGTCTCCTGCAGCCAGTATGGACGAAGTAGTGGGTAATAGACAGGTAGGCACCTTGTCAACATTCACATCAGGCGCATTCACATCGGGGAGCTCAAACAACATCTACTTCTGAAATGCAAGATTACTCAGCACGCAAGCAAACTTTCCACATACGCTGGCTTATTGGCCTGGATTAGTAAATCGTATGGGAGCGTACGCATCATGCTTCAATTCCGCGTGCAATAGTTCGTTCTCCTGCACCTGAGCAAGCGCCCTTTTGAGCAGTCCACCGAATTCGCATCGATCAAATTTGTTTTGGATTCGCAACACCTGAAATCACCATGAGTTTGTCATAAACTCACATTCTTCATGTTCTGGTAATGTTATTTTCTGTTTGCTCGAGTGTCGTTTCCATGCTCTTAGTTGGCCGTACAAAAGCGGTATGAGTATCCTCGTAGAATTTATTTGGTATACATATATACATAGATTGCCGTCATCCGCGTCCAATGGCAGTTCGAGTACAACATATGCACATGCGTTTATCCAAACTTAAGTGTGAGCTGTCACAAACTCAGTCTTAGTGCACCCATACATTCATACATATACTGAGACCCATGCTGAGGCTGATGTTGCATTCCTGTTGGTTCTTCACCGCAATTGGGCTAAACCAACTTACACTTAAACTAAGTCTTTGTTTTACCTGTATAAAATTCATCCCAGTTCATTTACTTTGTTCTGCGTACCTGAGTAATATTCTGTTAACTGGCCACGTTGCTTACGCTTATTGCGGTTATATTCGACAACTTTATAGTTCATAGCATTTTAAGGTAACGTGAACTTGTTTACTTATCCCGGATTCGTTGTTAATGTGCTTACTTCATATGGTAATTTAGCGAACAGTTATGCCAACGTATCTGTATGCCTTATTGGATTTGTTTTATTTCAGCTTGTCGTTTCAAGTGATTAGCTGTTGTTTGATATCCCCAGTGTGGCTTCGCTTGATGTTCATTTTGTCAGGGTGCCTACCTGTCTATTACCCACTACCTCTTCCATACTGGCTCTAGGAGACGGTCGTTGCTGGAGTGGACAGCGTGCACGGTCCTTGTGGCCGTGTTAGGATCAAAGATTGGTTCCTTTCACTCAGTGTGAAGCGGACTACGGTCCAGCCACTGCCTTGTGTGCGCAAGATTCCCAACTACAGCGTGCCTGTGTTTGCCTGTGAAGGAGTGTGGGCCTGCTGCGTTGAAGAAACGTGGCTCCCATCCACATGCCTCTCGCTTTTATTTCTTCGGGTTTACACTGGATATGGGGTGTACGGATGGAGCTGTGTTTGGTGCAGCGCAATCCATCCATGGTCCCTCTGTATGCGCAGGCGTCCTGTGGCTGGCCACAGTGACAGGCGAATCCGAAACCGGATGCCGCCAATCATGTATTTCCAAATGCGCTGCTGTAGTTATGCCCGTGTTCTCTCGGATCCTCAAAGTTCGAAAGGACCAAAGAAATTCTTCAAGGCAAATGAACGACGGCCACATGTTGGGTAAAATCGTTTGGATAACCAAGTAGCAGTGACTATTTGGTGGCGAGTCACATCCGCTACATCACAGTGTTGTTGTTGAACAGATACTTTTGGCTTTTTCTGAAGAGAACGCTTGACATGCGGTGTCGAACTGAAGTAGAACTGTTGCCGTACAAATTTTTCTCGCCGAAATCTGGTTGATATCCAAAAGAGCAACATATTTGGGTTACAGTTTGCTTTAACAAATGAAACTCTAGTGCACACACTTCCTCGGATTAATAGAAGGAAAAGGAGACCTCTGGATGAAAATCGCGCGTATTCTACTCTACAGAGCCATAGCATGCCAGACTGTCTGGCGGCATATAAGTACAAGCTAATATGGTGTCTGTTATTTGATCACGGCTGCCCCATTTCTCACTATTAGAGTTTGAGGTATTGATCAGCGTGTCACATATAGATCGGGATGAATCACAGGACGCCTCTAGGTATCCGATTGATATGCCTTCATCAAAAAGTCTGTTAGCTTACCAAATAAACTGTGACGCGAATGAGGTGTAAAGTTTACACAACCTACGGGTCTAAATGTAAAAGCAGTCGGCTCTCGTTTTACCAGACCACGTAAGATAGCCTGCGGTTGCGGCGATATTAATCGCTTTGTAGCAATACTGACATAATCAATTTGGCTGTGAAATCAGGCAACACAAGTTGTACAGCAAGTCACCAATCTTCATTTATCTGAGCTGCTGTGCGCATTGAGTAGCACGTGCGCTCGACAAATTCCAACGCCGATCGCAGTCCTATTCTACAGAACTTTAGCCAACTGATGCAAGTGCTCCACACTTATTCATCGCTTTTACCTTCTTTCAGAAACATTTGCTATCACAGGAGATTGTTGAAATCGCAGTAGCAGTTTAGCGTTGTGGCCTTAACGAGCCCATTCACCAGTACGATCAATGGATCCACGACATCCGAAAAAGCATGTGGAGATTAGTGGATAGTTTTTGGAAGAACATTGGCAGCTACATTCTGCCTTACTCTCATCACACCTCCAAAAAAGCGCTGGAAGGCCAGCCTGCACTGTTGGGATTCGTCAGTAGAGTGAATCCACACGCTCCTACTGAATCCGACCCCATGACTGTGCTGTTGCGAGTCGACAAAGTATGCCACTGAGTCACGGATGAAGGGAGCTAATCCCGATAACTGCTTTTTAGCTTCGATCTAAAACGCAGCGTCCACCACTGTGCTGTATGTTACAAACGTGCAGATGACAGCGCTGGCCACAAGAGCTACGACTACCTTCGCAAGTAATCAACTTTGCAGCTTACACATGCCATCATGATTGCTGTCAAATTGCAAAGTTAGTCGTAACTCTTGGGATCAGTCCTGTCATCTGCACCTTCATAGCATACATGACAGGGAAAGATAAGTCGCTCTACATCGCAGTTAGAAATCAGTCATGGTACTCCGCCGCGGTCACTTGTGACTCAGTGACATCAGTCGCCGGCTCGTGAGAGTAAGGTGTTGGTTTCCCATCTGGCATGATTCGTTCGGGTGCACGTTGCTGACGAGTCCCAATGGGGCGAATAGTTTGTCCAACACATTCCTGGATGTGTGGTGCCTGCTTGGTTGAGTCTAGTTGCGAGAAATCTCAAACAAAGATGTTAGTCTTTTAGCTCCTTACCTTTATTAATCAGCAACCACTGAATAGGCTCATTTGAACAACCTTGCGAGTATGCCGATACGTGATACAGTTAGTTCACGCGTTTATTTTGCATCGAACCTTCTCCCCTTTAAAGTACCACTACCTTGCTCCATTGTTCACTCACATGATCTCAAATGTAACTGTATTATCTAATTGAATTTTATGATGCAGCTCTATGCGTAGTCAGCAGATTCAAATCGTAACCTGTTGCGATGCTGGCGCTGACATAGAACTTGCATTCCAAGAATTCCGTCGGCCTTTTCATTTTTCCATTGATCTTACCACGATATCGCTGGTGATTCGTCGTATATTTTCTAATTATTTAAACTTAGCATGTCGCTATTCGTGAGTACCTCATGCAGCTTAATAGCGACAAATTGAGTTCCCGGATCAGGCGGGTTCACTCAGCACTTTCAGTTCAAATATGACCTTCGCACCTTGGTTTACGGCACTGAAGCCGCTGAATAACTACAATTAATCATCAGGCTGGTACTTCTCTCCTTGACTAACCTGTGGCCCTGTCAGTTGTTTCATTGTTTCAATGCGGTTATTTGTTGTTACACTTTTGTACATGTGATACAACTGCATTCATCTTTTTTTGTTTTAGATTCCTAAAAGCTCTTTCATTATTTTTCTTAATCAGGGCGAACTGAATCACGAGTGGATTGGCAATGTTTGGCTTCCCAGCTTGGGTTTGGCCCAATATCGACCCGCATTCATGGAGTGCCTTGTGGATGCCCGGATGTTGAGCCACCTGACAAAGCGGGACCTACGTACTCATCTCAAAATGATTGACCAATTCCACCGCCTAAGTTTGTATTACGGAATCATGTGTCTAAAGCGGATGGATTACGACAGAGCGGAATTGGAACGACGTCGTGACGCATGTGCTTTAAATGATACCGGTGAGTTTACATGCATGGAGACTTATGCTATTGCTGTAGTTTCTGTTAAGTTTCGTCGCAGTTAGCCACAGGCAGACAGCCACCACACATCCAGGAAAGCGCTAGACGTCGTTTCGTCCTACTGGGTCCCGTCAGTAGCGCGCACCCGCCGAATCCTGTCGGATTCAAACACACGACCTTACTCTTGCGAGTCAGGGAATTATGCCACTGAGCCGTGGACCGCCATGACTGATATCTAACTGCGATATAGCGCGGTTCATCCTCCACTGTGTTGCATGTCATGAAGGTGCCGAGGACAGGGCTGGCCCCCAGAGCAACGACTTCCTTTGCAAGCCGCCACTTCTGCTCTTTGTCAATTGATCACGCTCTAGCTTCGCATGAAAGGAAAGAGCCAGTGGATGATGTCACAACCGGAATGATAGAAATTCGCTCCCACCCGAACTCAACCGTCCCGGTGCGATAGTTTTCAGGCTTATCTTTTCGGTGCAATACCGCTAAATCTTGATCCGTTAAATGTTTGTCCCTCAGCTCTATCGTAATGTTTTTAATTATTGGGGGATAACGCTTTTTATTTAAACATAATGTATTGTGTGTGTTAGGTGCATCGAAAAGTAAATACACATCCAACTAAGGGAAGCGAACCAGCGTCCAGCTCGTTTATCTGAGGCTTTTCATCGTCAACTTCCGCGAACGGACCAAGTCAACCGACTACACATTCAATGCCAATCATCATTTGAGTCATTTTATTAACTGATTGGGATTGAGACAGATCGCGAGAGTTAGGCAGTGTAGGTTGCTGGTGAAATCAAAGGTCTTCTCAAACGAACCTGCACACATCTTAACCGAGCAAAGTGTAACCGAAGTAAAAACTGCGATTACACAAAATATTTGTCCAAAAACAGTTTAGGTGTCTTACCGCAAACTTTTAATTTCAATAGTTGCTTATTCGCGCAATGTTTTTAGAGTGAAAGTGAGAAATTCGCTCAGTAACCCAATAGACATTTGATATATCATACAGCGGACATGCGTCACAAGCAATAAATTGGGCAACACAAGTTTCGCGCGCCACTGCATTAAATATTCACACCGATATAAGTTGGCAGAACGGAACTCTCCGAAACATTAAAAAAGTCGGATCACACCTGCATAAATGCATCCTGGACAGGCATTAACATTTTACTGGTACTTGATCGAAAACATATCAGCTGTCAATTGTTCCCACTGCCTGTGTGTTTGTCACAGTGCAAACGTTGGCGGAATTGAACAGGTCCTTTGGTTTCCATGGATTTATAACCCTTTTGCGCCGATGTTGATTCCATAGCTTTGCTGAAAGACAGCAATAGACGTCACTCGACTTTCACCTATGACCACCGCAAAACGGTGAACCTAAGTGGAAATTTTAACGCACCACTTTTGCGGAAATTGGGTTGATCTTTGTATGGTCGTCTAGCAACCAGCGTATCAATTTGTAATATTTGTTAAAGTTTCCTTCTCGTACTAATAGCCATCTGTCACGCGCTATGTTTGCAATTTGTTTATGATCATTTAACCTCGCATTGTGTGACTTTTTCCTTTTGCTACCACAGACTCTCCTTTCTTGTCCCAAAATACTGATATCTGATACTATCAAAAACATCCTAATTATTCCCTCCGGAACATTGCCTGCTTCCTTGCATTGCAATCAATAACACGTTGCATATTCCATTTAAATTCGAGTGGTGTGTAGAATTCGAAACCCTTAGAAAATGTACATGCCGTGGTACGGGCGATGACATCCTCCGGATGGCTTCTATCTGTCTATAGCCTTTTCATGCCAGCGACCCAGTCTTATGCTAATGGACTTGCTTCTAAGTTGTCATATTTCTGCTTTGTAGCCACGATTTCACTATGGTACGTGTGTCAGTTATCATTATTTTATGTTTCTCAAGCTTATTCAAAGAAACTACAGGGATAACAAAAAATATTTTCTTTACTACGTTACTTTATCCATACTTAATGGGTGCTTGGCGAACTACTCTCCTATATCAGCGTTAAGACTTTGAAACATTTTCCCAAGACTGTCAGCTAAGTATTTGCCTTTGGCTTGTCTGTTTGTATCTTCGCTGACCGCCATTTCTCTTTGCATTATACTACGGTTATTGAATTACATGGATACATGGTGTGAATGGTTCAAAACGCTCACTTCTCTTCTACAGATCTGTTAGTTTGGAGCAATGATCGATTGAGCTCCTGGATGCAAAAAATTGGTTTACAGGAATACGCTTCCAATCTCATAAATTCTGGGATCCACGGAGCCCTCATCGTCCTGGATCCGGAATTCAACATCGCAATGCTGGAAACTGTCCTGCAAATTCCGAGCACAGATGTCAAATCGCGGTAAGTATCCAGCTGATTTCTAGTGCCGTATACGAGAGGTATCCATTGGTCCGTCTCGCCTTCCGGGTTGGAGTCCACGTGACTCACCTTGTGCTTGGCTCGAGACTTTACAGGACATGGCTCGCAACCGACACCAGTGGCGCGTCTGCTGCCGTCTCCTAATCGGATTGCCTGTTTAAAGTGTGTTTGGTGCTACGTTATCTGCGAGTTAATGGCTGATTATGACGCGTGGCAGTGAAAGCCGCAAGGAAGCTGTCTCGCCGATGCCGCCTTATCTTTGCACGATAGCCAGCTGTTTGTGACGGAATGTTGTCTGCACAAGGTGTAGGCGCCTTTACCCTGAATGTTTGCTTAGGGCATTAAGGTTTTCAGGTAAGTTCCCATTATCTCCCTCTTCTTATTCTTTATTTCATAGGTGCTCATGGTTGTATGGCAGCGAAGCATCAGTCCAAATGGCTGATGTACTGCTGTTGGTGATGATGATGATGATCCATTCCTTACGGTTAGTAGACGATTCCGAAGTACCAGTACCGTTTGGCTACTTGAAATGTTTGAAACTGTTGCTTTCTTCTTCTTCCTAAAACCAAAGCCGCCTGGCTCATGAGACTACCGAGGTGAGGGTGTTCGATCCCTGTCGGGATTTGCGACTGAACTTCGTCAGGAGTTACACTTCATCACATTGAAGCTTTATCCACACGGTTGGATGCACTCCTTGGCCCAGGTTGGTTCCTGCATAAATCACGAAAACTATCCGTTTCACTAGCATTCTATATTTGTTGTGCACGAGTAACATACAATTGCTGTTCGACGGGTCAATCTATAAGGTGAAGAACGGCATTGCAATCCGCTCGCAGCTAGGACCGCTACCAGCAGATGATTGATGACTAAATTGGAGGACGACTCTGCACGGAGTTGTTAAGCTCTTAGTTTACTGTTTATGTTAAGTGACGCAATTTTTTGCATCGCAACCATCTGGACACAAATGATCTAATGAAGCAATTCAACTCAGTACACGATAACGTAACATACACCTTGGAATCTAAATGCAAGAACCGAATTCTGCTCATCGATCTTCTAATGGGCCGAGGACCAAATGGGTCGGTCCAGTGAAGTGTTCACAAATTGGCTTCGTTTAAGTTAGCCACAGAAGAGAACTCGTTCGATGTCTGTCCGAAAGAGCAAGAAAGATATATGGTGAGGACACGCTCTCGGACGAGTTAAACTTCACACAAAGACCATTTGAGTAAAGTAGCTATCCGGAGAAGTTCGGTCAGAGAAATATGGAACGCAACAAAATAAACGGTATACAGATTTCAATTGGACAGTGGCGGGTTGACCGATCACAACTGTTCAAGTGGGATGAGCTAGATGAATCGATAAGGTTTTATGAAACTATCTCCCACGAACACTTACTAACGAATCAGTCATAGGACCTCCGGGTCAACCCGAAACTCAAAGCAGTGAGTCAGCTAAGATGCTGTCATAAAAAACATTGGAGTAACGATTTGAGATTATCTTCAACAATATGCAGACCATAAAATGTACAACAATCCTGTACACCACTGCTACCGGCTGTCAAGCGAGGCCAGACCGAAGCGGCATTAAACTGATCGGACTGAGAGTTCCAATCAGACGCGAACTATACCGAAGCATTTAATGGTCCGCGTAGTTAATCCCAAGTTTATACGTGCTTGTATGGCGAGATGTGAATTCACGGCAACCAAATTTTCGTTAGCGCATGTGTGCTCATCGTGGCTGTAGTTCAAGCTGGCAGAATAAGTCCATGAATGTAATATATATATATATATATATATATATATATATATATATATATATATATATATGTATATATATATATATAGCAAGAGAGAGATGCAGACAGCACTTGTCTAGCTGTGAAACAGCAAATGTGCCGGTTCAGACGGGATCCCGCCTGAAGTATTGAAACACGGCGGACCCGAGTTGTTGGCTACGCTGCACCACTTGGTGCAACGCGTACGGATTGAGGAGGAGGTGCCTGCTGAGTTGAAGGATGCCCTGTGCTACCACTGTACAAGGGCAAAGGGAGCAAGCACTGTTGCACCAATTATCGTGGCATCAACTTGCTGAGTTGTGTAGGCAAGGTGATAGCCTGTATCCTGCTCAACGCCCTCCTCAGTCAGATTGTGGAACGTAACGTGGCGGAAGAGCAGTGTGGATTCCGTTCGAGTCGCAGCACCACAGACATGGTGTTTGCGGCTCGTCGGTTGCAGGAGAAATGCAGAGAACGAGACCTGCCGTTTTACTCGCTTTTTGGAGATTTCACCAAGGCATTTGATACGGTGAAGCGCGAGGCATTGTGGCTGGTGTTGGATAAGTTTGGTTGCCCGCGTAAGTTTGTAAGTTTAATTGAATGTCTGCACAGCGGCATGCGCGAGAGGGTGCAGCTGAGTGGAGAGACCTCGGATAATTTTGCAGTTGTCTGTGGTGTGAAGCAAGGCTGTGTCTTAGCTCCTGCCCTGTTTAATATTTATCTTCGTGCAATTATGTCTAGTACTACTGATGCGGCTTGTGCTTACGGTGTTCGTGTGAAGCACCGTATGGATGGTGGGTTGCTGAACATTCGTGGTTTCGGTTCGAGAACTTCAGTCTGTGAGACAACTATCCGTATATTGCTGTTTGCTGACGACTGTGCGTTGTTTGCACACAGCGTGGATGAGTTGCAGCACATGGCTAGTGCTCTGGCTTCGACAGCAGCCAAATTCGATCTCGCCATCAACACAAGCAAAACTGTCTGTCTCTTTCAGCCTTCACCGGAGGTGCAATGTTCAATATTGCCGCGAATCAGCATTGGTGCTGAAGTATTAGAAACCACCTCCCGCTTCAGCTACCTTGGGAGTGTGATGTCGACTGATCAGCAGCTACACAGTGAGCTGCGTATCCACATCTCGATAGCTTCGGCGGCATTCGGGAAGCTTGAGTACCGAGTGTGGAACAACCATCAGCTTATCATTGGCACGAAGTTGTTGGTGTACAAATCCATGGTGCTGTCCGTTCTTCTATACGGCAGTGAAACGTGTGCCGTCGGGATTTGCGAAATCGTGAGCGGTTCCATCAACAGTGCTTGCGACGGATCCTGCACATCGGATGGGGCGACAAAGTTGCGGACACGGAAGTTTTGCACCGAAGTGGGATGTCCGCAGTGGACTGCACACTTGTGCTGAGACACCTGAGACACCACAAATATTATGTGGTCAGCTGACTATAGGGAAGTGGCATGTGGGGAAACCAAAGTTACTTTCTCTGAACATCATCAGCTTAATGTTTTCACGTTTTAATTTCGATTGCAGGTCATGGGAATCGAAGGCGGTTGATCGGTGTGCATGGCGCGCTCTGATCACGAAGGCAGTTGCCGAAGTGCAGGAGAAAGACCTCATGCGTGCAGAGAAAAAGCGGCAACTGCGGAAGCGGCAAGCATCGATGGGTTGTATTCCATCGACATCGAGTGCATGGTAGTGTAGCATATGCGGTCGCAAGTGTCTGCGTCAGGCAGGCTTAGTGAGCCATTAGCGAGGTCACTCGGGACCACCACCGAAGCGACGACGTGTCCTGCAGAGAACGTAGACAGTACCGGCGCAGCGTTTTTAGGTACGCTGCATTCGATTTACTGACTACGTGCTTGCATGCTAAGTCACTTTATTTAATGTGGTAGGTTTGCAATTGTGTCCAAATTCTTTTCTTTCTCATATGCATGTCTCCTAGTCCTTGCTTCTATAAACTTGCGCACGGCGACGAAGCTAATTGTAGTTAATTTCAATAACATTTGCGCGTTTTGGCATTTCCTTGAAATATCTTTTCTGACCACATGAACTTATCTCGGATTCGTTCCTCGAGACCTGGCATTCTGGCCGGAACTCAATCAACAAACACCTGGAGCTGGAGGGTGTCTATGAAGCTCTGCAGGTTAAGCCAGCATTAGGCATCAGATCGACAAGGAGAAGAGGTGCCCACATGACGGACACGTGAACCGATCGAAGGCTGACATTCGAAGCAGGCAACAATCAATAGTCATTCAGATCTGGAATTGGTTTGCGAGACTCGGCGAATCAGCACTAAATAGCTGCACTGAAGATGTTACCTAGTTTGGTAACGAAACATCTGCAACAGAAATGCCCAGCTCGGAGAACAGGACAATCCTTTCATCCACATCCCGAGCTACAGGTATTCTCAATAATTTCCAAACAATTCGGGCGCGACGCGCTAAAATCCGCTCGCCGATGGGAGACCTTTGCTAACCGGCACTCCTCCACTCACGAGCAACTACACTTCCTGCACGAGTGTGTGCGAAGACATGTCCTACCATCAAGTATGCACTATCGTCCACCCGTGACAAAGACTATATAGGTCAGATCGGGGAGAAAAGTATCCACAAGAATAAAAGAGCACAAACGTGCGTGTCGATATCATCATGTAACGTCACAGATCTCAGCACACCTCGATGTGGAAGGACACAATGTTAACTGGGACAAAACAGAAATTCTGGTGCACGGAGGGACAAGAAAATGAAGGGAATTCCTCGAGGCATGGTTCTCTACGGAGAATTCCCTGAACCTCCGCATTGATCTCGGTCCCGTGTACCTACAGCTGAGAAAGCGTGAAGCTGGACGGCTAAGTATCGAACAAACAGAGGTCACGGGACACAGATCGACGAGGGTAATTTCAAACGCTACGTCCCAAAGACATTTTCCGTGGAATTTCCCGTACGGAGCTGTACACTGAAGATGCCACTGAGGGAAGTGGTGAAACCTTAGACATAAAATTACTCAGCTCGGAGAACGAATCCAAACGTTAACTACCAACCCGAGCTACAGGTATTCCGGGCCATTTGTTTGTCCAACCTCGGGGAACAGTTAACCAGAGCTTGAGAAGGCGATTACCATTAGTACTCATAAGACCAAATTCCAAACAAAGCAGAAACCAGAAAAGAATTTGGACAGAATCTCGCAACAAAAACCAGCAAA